TTTTTTAAAAAAAGGATTGTTCCTTAAATATATGCATTGGTTCCTATGACAATGTCGTATTGCAGGACCCGATTAGTATGTCTAAACAAAATTTTTTTGTTATACTAATCGAATTTGTTCGAGCCTCTAAAGAATAAAAAAATGATATTGATAAAAAATAATAATGATAATAATAAATAACTATAATTATTAGCAAAATAATCGATTCTTTCAATTATGCCTTTTTAAACAATGCTCGAAATTCTCTATAAATAGTATTATCTATATAGACAATAGTGGTCGCTCTTTTTTTATATGTATGGCCGAAATAAAATAATATAAAAGTAATATTGATTAATATCAAATGCATAAATTGGTTTTCTAAATAAGGGAGCGGTTAAAAAAAAACCGTGATTCGCGTATTCACGTGACTTGCAAATATTTTATATAGTTAACAGGGTTAAAGTATGATTAGATTAGGACTAGACTGTTTTCATTAGTTTTCCGAGATAGTATACATACAGTATATATATTTATTTATTTATATTTAGATATATCAATATATATATTGAAACAGCTTTTTAGTTTCGCCGATCAATTAAAAATTTTTGATCGGGATTTAACCAAATAAGAAGGAAATAAGAAGAGATAATGCTGGCCAACTTGGCTCGTATTATACCATACAAAATTTGTATAAATCAAATATTTTAGGAAAATAGAAAGAAAAATTACAATGAGACTTATCATAATTAATTAATCAAATTTGACTAGTAAAAATGATCACCCGTAGTTTATTTACCTAAGAAACAGAACAACATCTCATTGTCCAACAGACTTAACAAATTAAATTGTACTAGCATATATTCATATTTTTTACGTGTGCAAATCAAATTAAAATTTACCTTTATTTGAATTCGTTTTCATAAAACTTGTGCACATGATTTGCGTTATCTAAAAGATCAATGTGCAATTATATTCAAAGATGCAGTTTCTGCAAAACTTTAATTGCACATGTTTCATTATACAATTAAAAGCAATTAAAAGCAATTAAAAGCAATTAAAAGCAATTAAAGATTAATGTTTCTTCTGTTTTTGTGTGTGCAAACGGACCATCGAATATGGTCGAGGAAATTTAAAGTATGAAACTCATTGGTGTTCTTTAAAGATACATGATAGACATGTGTGCACATCAAACGGTAAATGCCAGTAATAGTTCGGTAGTTAAATTATCGATCGACCTAACATTACTGTGGTGAATAATTAATTTCAATGCGCAATTGAAAATAATGAAAGCAATTGGTGCCTGTTGTTTTCCATATGGTTTCATCAAGGCCACGCATTAATTAATTAAAGTCTTTATGTTTAATGTTGTCTGACTCCTATTTTGACGGATCGAATTTCGGACAATATAAAGTGTGATACGTGTTACTCATAAATTTGTGCAATATTAATAATATTAATAATATTAATATTAATTTATTAATTAATATTAATGTACCAATGATTACCCCTTGTATGCTAATTTTAAAATTGTTAATCTATAAATAATAATAAAGTATGTGCATATGTTTAGTACTTGTTTAGTGGCATATGGTTACCCTGCAAAAGACAAATGCGATTACAGGGCCCAATCCAAAACCGGCCGATATACATTAGATCTTATCTGCGGACCTCCTTTGAGTTTCAGCCAATCACTCCGTTATTATACGTTATTATAAGTTTATTATAAGTTTATAATGTCACTTTTTTCCATATCTGTTCGCATGACTTAATATATGTCAATAGACAAATATTCGGCGTTTAATTCCTAATACAATTATCCTTTTTTATAATTCTTCCTCTTTTTTTGTTATAAATAGTTGGCGTCTCCTCTTTTCTTGTCTCTCAACAAATTTTCGAATTTTAATACGACTTTAAAAAAAAAAAATCGAAATTTGTTTATTTACGTATTATTACGACTTTTTTATTTACGCGAAAAAAAAATATACTTAATTACTTTAAAGATGGATACTGACTGGTGCATTATGTGCAATTCTCACTGCAATATTCCCGTAAGTATTTTAAAAGATTTAGAATAATAAATTATAAAATATTTATATTTGTATATGTGTATTAAATTTTTCTTTCTTTTTTTTGAATATTAGGGTGCTATATATTGTTCTGAAGAATGCAAAATTCAAGACCATTTGGGTGTTTCTTTTCCCACATCTCCAACTTCGATGTTATCACCTTCCACTTTTTATTCTAACAAGCCGATTTTAACTTCTTCTGCATGGCTTATGTCGAAAGTTCAATTACCTCCTCAGCAACAATCAACTTTGTTTTATCACCGTGCTCCATTACCTCGTTATTATAAACCCGGTGGTTCCTCAAAAGTTTACGCGAATCCTAAAAATTTACGCTTGAGGAAAATGTCCAAATCTCTTTACGTTCAATAATTTGGTCTTGTTCTTGACATCAATATTTTATATTACCATCTACACCATTCATGTTCATATCATATCGATATTATATCAAAAAGGTTCATTTCAAACTCATCTCGATGATTTTATTTATTAGAAATCATTATTGTCATATTTTGTTCATTTTGTATATATATATATATCAGTATTCGCATATTAAACACAATAGAAGTACTTATCAATATTTTAGGCGATGGATGTGAATATATTATAATTGATGGATACAAATTTTTCATATCCATTGTACATAGATTTTATTTCCTAGCAACTTCAATAATTATCATAATTCAAAAAATCGCTCATACATATTAATTGGTTTTCTCATTCTATATACATGCATTCAAGAATTTTCAAGATTTAAAATTTAGGATTATCCAAGAATTAGGATTACCAAAAATTAGGATTATCCAAAAATTAGGATTATCCAAAAAATAGCGTTAGGATTTTTTTTTTATTTTCCTAACTTAGATTTTATTTGTGCGATTAATCAATTTTTTTTTTTTTTTATATAAAAAAATAAAGTTATTATTATATAATTTTGTCCTGATTATACGTATGTGCTTATTTACGTTACGTAATTTTGTCTTATGACTGTTTGTTATTTTTGCTCTTTTTTGTAGGTTTATTTTATTCTAGTATATATCATCATTACACATAAAAATACTTACGTACATCATGATCCAAATGAAGCCAATTCTCTTTCAAGGGGTTTGTTATTTCGTTTATTGCAGAATCTCGGATTAGCAATAGATTTTATTTTAGTATGACAAATTCTATTCCTATTACGCGGATTTCTAAAAATATTTACACTATTTGGGTTTAAAACTTGTTATTCCAGGTTTATTATAAGACATGTGGCAAAACTCCTAGTTTAGTCACACCTATGATTGAACTACAATGACTAGGTCATTAAATCAACTACACTTAGAAATAGTTAATCATGGCCTCAAAGAATTCAAAAAACAAATTAGTCTTATAAAGTACGACTTTAACAGCCCAAATCACGTGAAAAACGTATATACATTATGTGATTAAATAATTATATACTGCGTTGATAATCGGTATTTGGTACAGAAACCTGAATGACTTAATGCGCAGTTACTACATAGTAACTATGTATATAGTAACTATATAGTTACTATTAAATTTAATAGTAACTATATAGTCACTATGCAGTTACTGTGTATTAAGATATTCAAGTTTCTGTAAAGTAATCAATGTTCAGCAATCTAAAAACCCTAATCTCTACCTTAATTCAAGCCCGAAACCCTTACCCTAAAGTTTAATTTTAGCTTTAAAGTTTGGAATAAAATTTTTTATTGACCATACAATAATAATTAAAAACATAATGCGGTGAGTTTCACCTCCGGTGAATACTAAATAAATTTTTATAAATTTAAATAAAATTCGTTCCTAATATTGTACTTATATTAAGTACGTAATCGTGAAAAAAATTAATTTACATTAAACAACTAATCGTATTATAAAAGGTATTTTAATATCGCTTCAAAAATTGTACACTGGGGTCTCGAAACTAACGAATTTCGAGTTTGAAAATTTTCTATTTCATGAAATAAATTTTATTTATGCACATAATATCGTTATATGCAGTTTAAGTAAATTGAAAATAAGTTTTGTAATAGTTTATTTCAAATAACAAACACATTACCTATTTAAATGAAATCGATTTGTTGACTTTGAAACACATTAGTAATATTAAAAATAATACATTTTGATTTAATTTTAAGAAAAAATAGCATGTTTATTGAATATTAATTAGTTAAAAAAATAAATCCCAAATCTGTTTATAAATTTAATCTAACTATTAAATTCTATAATGATCAATATTTGTTAATTGATTAAATTTGTGAATATTAAGAGTAAAAATAAAATATCTACTTGCAAATTTAAAATATTAATAAACTTAATATATACAGTAGATGAATAATTAATATTATATATCAAAAGCTTATTAAATAATATTAAAAATCTATGAAAAAAGTTAAATAAAGAGTTAAAATAAATATTAAAACTTCTAAAATACTTATTATTTTTATAACTATTACTATATATAAAGCTATATATTATTATCTCTTAGTCTGTAGGATAGGTGCAAGCAAATTTGCCTGCAAAAAGTTATATATATATATTTTTTAAAAATTTTTTATAAAATCTTATTTAATAATTTAATATAATGTTGTTTAGGATTTAATAATATTTCTAATCTAAAAATTATAAAAATTAACTATATTTTATAAAAATTTATATAAATCTAAAGTTAATTAATTTTTATAACATAAAATAAAATAATTATATTCTTAAAATTTAAATTTTTTTTTAAATATATTTGATCTCCAAAATTATTAGCAAATTTTTACCTTAAGTTTTAATTAATATAAAAAAAGATATTTATTTAATATTGATATTTATATTTAAGACATATATATATATTGTAGAGCTAGACTATATAGACTAAAATCTGAAAATATAAGTTATACGAATATTAACATAAGCTGTACGAATATTAACATAAGTTGTACAAATATTAACTAATACTAAAAACGCTATTAATAACTAGACCTTATTAATAACAAGCTATAAAAAAAGAAATAATGAACCTTGTTAATAAGACACTAAATCACATTGTGAAGTTTTACTTTGAAGTTATAAAATTAAATTACGTTATAAAAATTTTATTTATCAAAAGGATATTAAAGCAAAATATTTATATAGCCTAATGTTCACTATATACTGGTAGTTTAAAATATGTTTTTT